AATGAAAATGTAAAACATATGTAAAAGTAATGTGCAAAGATAACGATAAGAAATGTAACGGAAGCCCTCCAAACCCGAAAGGGACGGAGTATGAAATAAATAATAAATAATAAATAAAATTAACCCTTCTCACATTGGCATTTTTCTCGTTTAACCTTGTAGAGCGAGCGCCCCTTGCATCCTTTGGAGAGCGAGTTAGTTACCGATTTTTTTCTTGTCTTTCCTATTCATTTTCTTTTACTAGACTTCCAGATGATGGATACTTACAGGTTCAAGGAGATAACTTATAGTTGGTAAGTTTCAAACTTGCCTACAAATGGATTCGTTTTGACTACGAAAAAAAAATTTTTCTCGTGCAAAAAAAAGTAAACTCCATGCATACGTATGGTGTTCCTACTTTGCTAGATCAGTGTTGGTTTCAGGAAAAATCAGTTGAAACAGTGGTCACTGTTACTAAAATTACCATCATAACGTTATCCGGGAAAATGAGTTTTACAGTCCTACGACGATTGTATTAGGAGCGTTAATTCCTATTTTTTAGAACATTTCCAGCAGAGCTCAAAAAATTAAACCTTTATTGAGTCTGATTATTTTAATTTTTGAAATTTGCTGGTTCCCGTACAATAACCCACATACATAGAGTCAAAACTTATTTCTCAAAAAAAAGCATGTTTTTACATAATTTATAAAAAATTACTAAATAATTACTAAAAAAACGTGTTAAAAAAAAAAAAATCATTCTAGTTACTATCTACCGTTGTAACCGTCCGCTCAGTAATGTAAAGGCACGTTATCGGATATGAAGAAAACACATTCCAATAGTATATTTATAAGTATCACAACAAATAAAGATTTCCTGATAAAATATAAGATGCTTTTTTTTTTTAAATCATTAACTTTCTCTTACAATTTTTTATATTTTTAATTTAAGTGGCATTGTCTTATGCATGGATTCCAGACCGTGTTACAATTACTACCAGCCTTTCCGTAGGTTATATTAACCTAACCCTATAGAGTAGGATTAAAGTTGGAAATTGTATTTACTTTTTGTCTATAATCTTTTTTGTTCAAACAAGTACGTGTGAGGTATTGTTAAAATGAAAATATGGCAAAAAAGAAACAAAGTTGGCAGTGGCGTAAAAAAATCGTGCTAAAAATGTTTCCATGCTAAATAAGGTTGAAGAAAAAGCATTGTTAAAAATGAAAAAGAAACAAGGTACTTAAGAACAAATAAAAAAGTTGGAACTATAAATTTGAATTTCAACAGTGATCGTTAGTCATAGGTATAATATATATTAAAAAAAATTTTTGTCAGCTTTTATATTCAGGTTTAAAATACTAATTTAAGACCGTGGAGTGCGTTTCTAACTATATTAAAAATCGAAGTTCCTTTAAATTAATAAGCTTTTGTAGGTCCCACAAATGAAACATTGGTTGTGAAATTAGTATTTAATTTAATTATAGTACTTCCATTGATGTGTTTAACTGTATGTTATTTCAAGAATTAATCTCTAATTACTTAAGAAGTAAACATATTTATAAGTGGTAGTAGGTATATGCATGGGCAGTAATAGATGTACTGGCAGTAATCGGGGAGCAGTACTTAATACATGCATGGTGGCGGTAACATAAGCATTTAGCTAACTTAAAAAATAAATGTAAAACTAAATGATGCAATAAAAATTAGTCGAATATTAAATATAAGTACCTGATTGCATAGCCTTCACTTGGAAGAGACAATCAAGTTGATAAGAGCTTGCAGGCATTTTTAATGGCCTTTAAAAATTACTTGGATGAAAAAAGTGCTAATAATACGTAGATTAACCTTTGACAGTGCGATACGTTTGTAGGCGATTAATTAATATCAATAATTTGTAACGGTAAAAATATAATAAAAGTAAATCAATTACGTTTGGCTCCGTTTTTAGTCCTGAGAAGGACTGTTTGTTATTAATAAATTTAGATCTACGAGCTTTTCTCGGTTTTCTTGGGCAAAAGTACGGCCTGGATGTTGGGCAAGACACCACCTTGGGCGATTGTTACTCCAGAGAGCAGCTTGTTCAATTCTTCGTCGTTGCGGATTGCTAGTTGAAGATGACGAGGGATGATTCTAGTCTTCTTGTTGTCACGAGCTGCGTTGCCAGCCAACTCGAGAACCTCAGCGGCCAAATACTCCATGACGGCGGCTAAGTACACAGGCGCACCGGCACCCACTCGTTCGGCATAATTGCCTTTGCGCAATAGACGATGGATACGTCCAACGGGGAACTGGAGTCCAGCACGAGTCGAGCGAGTCTTGGACTTTCCCTTGACCTTGCCACCACCTTTGCCACGTCCAGACATGATTCGAGTTGAGGTTGTAAACTTAGAATCAACGACTAACTATTCAGCACAGTTACTGTATACCCTTCAAGCAGCCGAGAGCCCCCTTATATAGGCCTTCCAGCTGCTCTCCCGAAGCATGCCCCTACTCTTCGAGAACGGGAAAAACAGCTGCACGAAACAAAGCCATTGTACAGAGAGACTCGCCGCTGCTGCCTCGTGGCTCTGAAAAGGTAGGGATGGATTTCGGAGAGAACGTTCCGACGCTCATAAAAGGAGAGTCGAAACTGTGCACGAGCATACTGTCTCTTTGACCTTCCCTTTAGGACGTCGATACATCTAACGCATCATCATGCCACCCAAAGCATCTGGCAAAGCCGTGAAGAAGGCTGGAAAAGCCGTGAAGAACATCACGAAGGGTGACAAGAAAAAGAAGCACAAGAAAAGGAAGGAGAGCTATGCTATCTACATCTATAAGGTGTTGAAGCAAGTCCACCCCGACACTGGTGTCTCTTCCAAGGCGATGAGCATCATGAACAGCTTCGTCAATGACATTTTCGAGCGTATCGCCTCAGAGGCTTCTCGCCTGGCCCATTACAACAAGAGGTCCACCATCACCTCCCGGGAAATTCAGACTGCCGTGAGGCTCTTATTGCCTGGTGAATTGGCTAAGCACGCCGTTTCTGAAGGAACCAAGGCAGTGACCAAGTACACCAGCTCCAAGTAAATCGTATCAATCGGCCCTTCTCAGGGCCACAAAATATTACGATGTAAACTACTGCTGCCATTAGATAAATTTGACCCCGTGCCCAACTGAACAATCCCCATGCGTAAACATAAAAACCAACCCTCCTCACATTGGCATTTATTTCATTGACCTTGTCGAGCGAACCTCCTTTCTTTCATCGAACTGGTTACCGATCTTATATTTACCGATCACCTTGTCTTCCCTTTTCATTTTCTTTAACTAGTCTTCCAGGAGACTAATACATGTAGGTTCAAGGAGATAATTTCTAGTTAGTAAGTTTTAAGATTGCCTACAAATGAATTCATTGTTAATTTCAGAAAAAATCAGTTTAAACAGTAGTCACTGTTACTAAAACTACCATCATAACGTTATTCGGGAAAATTAGTTTTACAGTTCTACGATAATTGTATTAGGAGCGTTAATTTCTATATTTTAGAACATTTCCAGCAGAGCTCAAAAAATTAAACCTTTATTGAGTCTGATTATTTTAATTTTTGAAATTTGCTGGTTCCCGTACAATAACCCACATACATAGAGTCAAAACTTATTTCTCAAAAAAAAGCATGTTTTTACATAAATTATAAAAAATTACTAAATAATTNCATGTTTTTACATAATTTATAAAAAATTACTAAATAATTACTAAAAAAACGTGTTAAAAAAAAAAAAATCATTCTAGTTACTATCTACCGTTGTAACCGTCCGCTCAGTAATGTAAAGGCACGTTATCGGATATCCACTATGATGAACGTTGCTGCTCGCTTTTTCAAATTTCACAATCACACAAGTATAGTTACATACAACCACTTTCTGCGGCATAGGAAAACAAGATTAGCGATGAGTCAATAGCGATAGGCTAAAGAGAACCGACGAGTCGTGAAGGTCTGGAAAAAAAATTTTCTTTGATTTTCTAAAATTTGTAAAAACAATGGTAAACATTGACAACTTTTAAATTTTCTGGCGAAGAAAAAATAATACATCTTTTTTTTCTTCCAAGGGTCGTCAAAAGTGAAAACTTCGGAGTGAAACACGAGTCAGTAACCCCAATTCAACCACTTTTTTTGATTTACAGTAAAAGTTATAATCTAATTTACGTTGTAGTTTTAGAAAAACTGTACTTTTTATTATTTATAATAGTTTTTATAGCCAAATTTCTACAGGGTAAATGGTGTTTCAATAGACTGGGCAATGGAACCTTCCATTTTCTGTACAGCGCCCCACATACATACTAAACTTAATTCTGTAGTACTACAATGTGTGAGTGTATGCGCCGCTACTCTGTCTGTACTGTACGTCTGTAGGCCCAAGTAAGTATGTCCGCATATAGTTTGGTCGACACTAACAGTTATTTACAGATGCCTCTGTAAAAGAGAGGGAGAACGTACAGAAGAGAAACGGTATGAGCAAAGTCGACAAAGCTATATTTAAGTACACTGAAGAAAAATTTCGTCAATACAAATTAACATTTAAGGTAAATGTCCCGATCGTGAGACAGGGTTAAGCGAACTCATAGGTGAAATAAGCTATTCGAAGCTGAAAAATACACATAACCAGAAAATTTTTCGTATTATAATGTAAAATTATGTGTTCTAGCAATAAAAAATTTATTTTAGTGTATAAATAAGATCGCAATAATAATTTAATTTGAAATATTGGAGAAAAATATGAGGTCCCAATTAATGGCACATCAAAAAACAGCATGGCCCNATATTGAAATCCCTAAAATTTGTTTAACATGTGGATACTATAAGCTTTTATTTTTATCTAAATAAGAAGGTTTTTTTATTAAAATGTATCTATAACCATTGCTGCTACGGTTCATTGAGGTAATGAAAATTAAAGAAAAAACCTCAATGAACCAAAAAAAAGTCAGCATCCACTAACACAGCTCAAAACATATAAATTAGACGTTCAAAAGTAAAGTACTTTAGATACACGTGTTTAGGAAGACAAAAAAGCTGTAATATGACGCAGATATTTTTAAGCTTTTCACCTTTATGTGGAAACTCTGAAGCAAAAAAATGCAGAATCCAATTCCAGCAGAGTCGAATTTGCGTTTGCAAGCAAAGAGGAGGTAGAACGAAAGAGAGAAAGAAAAGGATGAAAACGAAGGAATTATCTTGTTTCCATGCCCTGAGAATTTAAGACTAGCAAACATTCCATCAAAACTCTAAAGCCTTTCGTAAAGTGTCGTAGAAGAATGTATGAGAGAAGAAGCTAATACTTGTGGAACGCCAGAGGCTGTTGCTTACGTACCCAATTTCAATTTCAATATGCATCCCCATTGGTTGCAAGTGAGAGTACAAGTGAGCTCTAAAATCATTTCCAGCCTAGCTGCTTTAATATTAGAATCTTTCAGCTTACTTCACTGGATTTATCGCGCATTTCATGTTCTCTTAAGGTTTTCTATTTTCCAAGGATTCACGTTGCATTTTTTATCTGATTTTCATTCAATTTTTTATAAGATCTTATAACTTGTTCTTTGAATGGATTTATTTGCTTTATATGCTTCACGATTGAGGAAAATAATCAGTTATTTACATAAAGAATGGTCCCATTAATTCTAAAAATAATCATCAATCAATAAAGTTGACACTCAAAATCAATGAATTAAGAGTCAATTGCATCCGTTTAATTTTGACTTTGAAGTTGTACACACTGTCCAAAGAATTTTCTCATTAGGTAAATATCTTGCTTGTTATTAAAATTGAAGTATATCACATGAAAACAGATGCAGTCCACGTTGCAGTTACTATATGCCAAAACTATACTTACAAACAACAATTTATCGCTCGTATAGTTTGTTGTGCCATAGTGAGATGTACGTAAATTTGTAAATTAAATGATTATTATAGCAGACAAGATGAAAGCTGAAGCGTTGTCCCAACCAAAACACTCAATTTCAAAGTTAAATTGAATATGTATCGCTGGAATTGAGGTGGTACATTAAAACCGAAGCCTCACTAAAACTCAAACTTTTATCTCGTGTAGTCAAACATTTTCGATATAAGAATACGTACTTACGCGTTATTTATTTAAAGAAAATTAAAAACATATACCTCTGGAAGTCTTTTTTGTCCTTTGCTGTAAATAAAACAAGCCATAGAGTAGATTATTTGGTATCATTGGATTTCAAGGTATAGAGATAAGAAGTATGAGTTCTTTATTTCTTCATTGTTTGATTATCAAATAAAATCGCTGAATTTAATCTGAAAGTTCTACAAACTATTGACATTAACAATTATCTTTCTTCTCAAAATACTTTGAATGAAATGTTTTGAGAAAGTAAAAAGGGTACTGGATAACATAAACGTTAAAAAAAAAATTTTAGCGTTTAATATAAACTTCTCCTGACTGTGTAATAATACAATTATTAAAATTATACTACACCTTTTCTCTTGAATGAAACTTTTTGTAACACCCAGATTTTTCCAGTTTAATGAGCTAAGCCAGGTGTATGAGAATACATTGCAGGCTCTGTACCTATTGTAGAATTTTCAAGTGTGTACGAGCTGCATTAACAAAAGATGGAGGAAGTACGTGCAGCTGAGACATTCCGTTGCTTCAATAAATATTCATATTCATAATACCGAAATTTTCCATAGTAGGGGAGAAAAGGGAAGGGGATAAAATACGACATAGCAATGGAGAAGGGAGCACAAAAAGCAACTTAATTAAATCGTCTTTATGGATGTAGGTATACATGTATGTAAATGTGTGAATCGAGGTGAATATCTAAGGAAAAATTCGGCATGAATTCCGAGATTAGATAGTTCTGCGTCTGCTTTTATGTGTGCCCTCAAGTAGACGAAAATTCTATTTTTATACTAAAATGAGAAACTTAAAATTAGGAATTTATGTTTATTATCATACTTTAAGTCGCAGAGAAGAGGATTTCGAAATAAGTGTCCCAATATCGCTGCTGCTGCGCTACTATCCGGCAGAAGAATTTTTTCCTTTTTTTTCTATTTTGTTCGTTTCACACACCCCTAAGGTATTCATATACATGCAGACGGATTTTATTTTTTCTGAGACTACTGCATTGAAATGTAGGGAGTTGGAGAAAAGTATGTGTTAGAATGCGTGCATATTCTTGTCCAACATAGTAGACCGAAAATTAAGTCGTTCGGTTCGTCAAATAAGTATAGGAGTTACCTTTGCTAATCAAATGGGATCACACTCTACATCCACATGTACTTACATTGCGATAATAACGTCATTTTGACTAAATCGTTTTGTTTCAAGAGCTGCAATCGTTTTGCTTTAATAGCTACGTCATCTTTCAAGTTTAAGATTTAAA